TTTATCAGCTTCCTTATTTTCCATAATTGTACCTTGTATATCACTTACTCATTTCTTTTCTTCTTCCTTTCGTGTGGTCATTGCATCCAGTCAGTTTTGAATCTCAGTTATTGCATTTTTCATTTTGGCATGATTGTTTTTAAGCTCTTGTATGTCTGTGGTTAAGCGTCTCCCAGGTCTCTTCTATGCTTTTCTCAAGCCCAGCTAGTATCCTTAAGATTGTTGCTTTAATTTATGGATCAGGCGTGTTACTTACATGTATTTTGTTTAGATCCCTGGCCATGACCTTGTTCTTTCTTTTGTGATGAATTCCTCAGTCTTGGCTGAGGTATCTATTTTCTTCTCTGTGTTAGGAAAGCCTGTTATGTTTCCTGCTTTTGAGAGTAATGACTTTATGAAGAAGAGGTCATATAATGTCCAGGGCCTGTCGCTTCAGGAAGTGTCTCTGCTGTCTGCTGTGTGCACTCTGCTGCTGTGTTATGGCTGCTCTATCCCTCAGATCAGTGCTCTGCAGAGTTTCTCCTTGCCTGCAGTGAGTAGTGTCTGGACCTTGGCCAGAGTGTGGCGAGTTTTAATTAGTTGTGCTCTTGTCTGCTTGTTTAAAAAGACCTGGTGCCATTTCCACTAGAGCTGAAGATTTGCAGAAGTCTGTGGTCAGTAGATATGGTGCCTGTGGGGGGTTGTGCTGGTTTTCTGGGGGAGGAGCCCGCTGTGCTGGTTCTCAGGCACACTTGCCTGAGAGAAGCAATACCAGTAGAGAGCAGAGGGGCAGGGTTGGTGTAAGCAATTAAGCAGCCTGTGTTGTCACTCTTCTATTTACTGAAGTTATTAGTTGATGCTGAAGGCCAGTGGAGGGAAGTGGCACCAGCCAGTTCCTTTGTCCCCTGAGAGGGCAGTTCGTCAGGGAAGCACTCCCACAGGAGCAAATAAAGTCCCTTCATGTACACTAAGTGTGTTTTAGATTATTGTTTTCTGTCTGTGTCTGGGTTTCTTGCCTGCCTGTTGCAGTGCAGTGTGTACTTTTTGAATCATCCTGTCAGTTTCTCAGTTAACAGGTTTGGGAAGTGTTTTCATTGGGTGATCCCCTCTGTGCTTCTCTCTCTCTCTCTCTCTCTCTCTCTCTCTCGCGCGCGCGCGCGCGCGCGCGCCTCCCTCTGCAACCTGGGCGCCTTCCCCTCTGCAGCATCCATGATCCATTTCTTCCCCAAACCAGGTCTCTGCATCTCCTATCTACCACGATGTGGCCTCCTCTTTCCCTCTAGTTGTGCAGTTTGTTCTGTCAGTCCTCAGATCAATTTCTTGGGTATTCAGAATGAGTTGATATTTATCTAGCTGTGTTTGAGGGATGCAGCAAGCCTACGGTCCTCCTACTCTACCATCTTAGCTACTTTATTATTTTTACTTTTGAACCATGGCAATGTTTTCATATATTTAAAATTTTGAAAGTCAGCAAGGATGGGGAAAAGCAAAAAGTGATTACAAACAGAAAGAAGTGAAACTGCATAACAAATTGATAACAAGACATGCAGAAGAAAAACAATCTAAGTAACTGTTGAACACATTACTCTGATTATTTACCCTTAGTGGAATATAAGGACAAAAATAAATCAAAATTTGAACCTAATTTTGTTATTAGTAGTAGTATGGAAGTAGCCTATTTGAAATTGTTTTCTGTATATTTTAAGAGGGAGCATATGAGTAAATATACCCATGTTGTAAAACAGTGGTCAAGATAATAATAATGGAATGCAAGAAGAAGAGGAGCAACCTTGTGATGTTATATTGGAACAGAATTATCAGTAGGAATTCAAAATGATAAAGTTCCTAACTTTTCAGTGAAAAGGCCTAGAAGCAGTGAAATCCCAGTAGTAATAAGTATAACAGGCACATAGATCTTGAGCACTAAATACTGTTCCTCACTAAAAGGAATCAAAATTCTTTGAATATATGACTGATTCAGTATCTGGAGTGAGAAAACTAATGAATACCTATCACAAAGACACAAGAACCATTTTTTTGTGGGCTCCCACTGGCCCAATGTGGGATAATTCGAACATAAAAAAAAATAATGATACTTAATGAATTATGATATGTTCAATAAAAAACTAACCTATAGGGGCACCTGGGTGACTCAGTCATTAAGTGTCTGTCTGCCTTTGGCTCAGGTCATGATCCCAGGGTCCTGGTATCGAGCCCCACATCAGGCTCCCTGCTCCGTGGGAAGCCTGCTTCTCCCTCTGCCTGCCACTTCCACTGCTTGTGTTCCCTCTCTCGCAGTGTCTCTCTCTGTCAAATAAATAAATAAAATCTTAAAAAAAAAACCTAACCTATAATTTCACAACAATACAAAAGTATGGGGAAAGGGAAAGCTCTTCTTTAAGAAGAATGCCAAGTAACACTTGTAGAAAGAATGACAAATTTAGAAAAAAGTCATATTTTGCAGCTACCATTGTAATAATGACTGCAGGTAAGGATCATCACTGGTTGCTAAAACCAAATGGTGAAAAAATTATTGAGGAATGGAATATTTACACAGTTTGAAAATGTAACCCATAGATTACTTATTAATTTCAAAGAGAAAAAAATACCTTTAAAATAGAGAAATGTAATTCCCTTAACCAAATGATCAAACTTATTATTAATTGTGGAGTAAATTGACATTGTGTACCTCCTGATCTGATGTAGTGGGGCGCATCATCACCTATATTGTATTTCTACCAAAAATGTTTAGCCTGAATCTAATAATCAGAAACAACTAAACAAAAACAACTTAAATGGCATTCTTTAAAAATGCACCTGGGGACACCTGGATGGCTAAGTCGTTAAGTGTCTGCCTTCGGCTCAGGTCATGATCCCAGGGTCCTGGGATCAAGCCCCACATCAGGCTCCCTGCTCCATGGGAAGCCTGCTTCTCCCTCTCCCACTCCCCCTGCTTGTGTTCTCTCTCTCGCTGTCAAATAAATAAAATCTTAAAAAAAAAAACCGCACCTGGATATTTTAGAAATGTCAGTGTAACACATACCTAACACAGACTTGAAAACTTATAAATTCAATGTATTGATCCCGATTGGATTCTGGGTGGAAAAATATGTATATAAAGGATATATTATTGGGACAGTAGGTGAAATCTGACTATGGATTATATGTTAGATAAATTTCTTGGGTGTGATAATATTTGTATTCTAGTCAGTATGAAAATATTCTTGTTTTTAGGAGATAAATGCTAATGAAATATGTAGGAGTGAAATGTAATGATGTCTGTAACTCATTCTCAAATGAATTAGCAAAAAAATGGTGTAAATTTAGAGAGAGGATGAAGTGAAAAAAATGTGGTAGTTGCCAAACTGGGAAAAGCATGAGTTTCCAGATTGAAAGGGCCCACCAAGTACCCAGCACAATGAATGGAAAGGAAAACACACACACACCAGAACACATTATCATAAAATTTCAAAGTTGAGGATAAATAAAACAACCTTAAAAGTTGTGAGAGGAATGTCTCAAAGGGGAGGTAGTCATGGAGGATTGAACTAATAGATTACCTAATATAATTGATTATGAAAAAAATAGTATTCAGATGGGCTTTATAATTCTGGAAGAAAGTTTAGAGAGAATTACCAATAGTGACTTAGAAAAATTAGAAAATGAAAAAACAAGGCAATTACTAAGAATAAAAAATTTTACAAGAAAAAATACGTAAAATTCTAGTATCTACTTGACTCAACAGGTAATACTTTACATCGTCATAATAAGGTAAACACTGAATATTAACTTAAACAACACTTGTGCTATAACCAATGTTATTGGAAGAGTGTAAAAATGAAATAGTGGTAATGTGGGATAGTATAGGAGTGCTGAATTTCATAATACATGTATATATGCATATATGTATGTGTAAATACCGAAGAAATAGCTATGAATTTGGGGATAGGAAGGCGATAGGCATGAAGGAGGAGACAAAAGACCTTTTTGTTATAAGCTTTTTAATCTTAACTTTTTAGGATATATACATTTGTACTTCAATACAAATAAAAATAATTTAAAATACATTTTTACGACAGGGTAATTATTTGTGATTTATTTCATTGGTATTTCCACAAAAATAATTCCATTTTTTCTAGTAGCTTTTGATGAAGTTTTCACGGAGGATTTTGTTTGTTTTTGACAGTGGTAAATAGAAAAATATAAAACATGTAACCCATGGGGAGTTTTGTGCCAATGAAGTGGTCCACACATACCAAGGTTGAGAACTGTGTTCTTCACAATCCAGAGGAATTTAAATAGCTGAGCAAAATAGTTCTTTTTTAAACTGCCTAGCTAGCAATGAAAGAGGAGTCTTAAATTAACCACTCAGATGTGGGAACAAATTTTAGTTGTTTTGCTTAAGGGTATATTTGTAAAGGTCCTAAAACTGGGAGTACCAGTAAAAGTGACAAAACTCCTTTTGTCTCCCACCATGTTTAACAGTAGCTGTCAAGAGACAAATTAATTGTAGATAAGAGTTTGGAATCTATACCAAATCTGCAATGTTAAGTTTAATATCCATTGTTAACAAAAATAGCTACTGGAAGAAGTAGCTTTTCATGGAGAAATCTTTTTTATTTTAAAGTATACATAACGATTTCAGGGTATTATTTTTATGTCCCTGTAATAAATAACAATGCTTTTGATTAAATATTTACCAATTACAGTTACCTTTAAAAATTTTTCACCTTCCTTTTCTGCCCTTCAGAATTAAAAATAAAACATTAAAATTTAAGTGAAATGGTTTACAGTATATGGAATTTCACAGCTTTTTGTTTGTTCACTGGACTAATAGCTTAACAGGGAAGAAAGCATTCCTACCTCAATTTTTCCTACTTATACTATGGATGAGGAATTGGGAGAGGTATTTTAATGAATCCAAATCCTTCAAAATCGTTAGTTAGAAATTATTATGTATTTTCAGTTATTATGCTAGTTATATGACCTTTTTCTATGTTTCTCTTGCTTTTGCTTTTTAGGGTAAGATAGCTGAACGTGGTACCCACCATGGTTTGCTTGCAAACCCTGGCAGTATCTATTCAGAAATGTGGCATACACAGAGTAGCCGTGTGCAGAACCATAATAACCCCACATGGGATGCAAAGAAAGAAAATGTGTCCAAAGAGGAGGAAAGGAAGAAACTACAAGAAGAAATTGTCAACAGCGTGAAAGGCTGTGGAAACTGTTCCTGCTAAGTTGCACAAGACATTTTTTTTGACACATTTGCACTGAAGCAGAATTGTTTTATTAAAAATGAAATCATACATTCCCATTTCTATAATCCTTTTTTTAGGTAAGATTTATTTGAAAAGGAATTTGAGTTTTACATCTTTCACAGTATTTCATGTGATGTCTGTATTTAGCCACGAATTATTTTCTTGTTACTGCCTTATTTGTGCCCAAAGCATCGTTTTTGTTACTATTTCACTTTGCCCCATTTCCATTTTGGGGGCCTGATAGCCATTTGATATCCATAACCAGATGAATTACATTGGATTCCAAATTTTAATAGTTTTTTAAATTTCCTTTATGCTGACAGTTTAGATGGAAAGTATCCATTTCTTTTTTTTTTTAAGAGGACAGTGTAGGTTCATTGTTTCTCCTCCCTCCCCACTGACATACTTCAGTGATAGATACCTACACTTTCATTTTTTAAAGTCTTTGCCACTGTATATCTTTTGGAGGAAAAACCTTAATTCTCATGTATGTATGTAGAATGTTCATCATCATTAACCAGCATCTCTAGTGATGGGAATTTTATTTTTTCATCAAAATGAGTTATTGCTCTTGTTTGGGACCAAAATTTATGTCTTTCTCTTTAAACACTTAAAACCCTGATGTAATTTGACAGTTGTCATACTGGGAATGATCTAAAAAGCTTAGGAAGTTAATTGCCCTCCTATTTCCATCTTAACTCTTGTGCTTTTGGTGTCTGAAGTTATATAAAGAAACAACTAAATGGAATGTATGCATGCACATATATGTGTGTGTGCACATGCTCACACTTGTATATAAAGCAGCAACCACTTAAAAATTATTAATGACCTTGAGGTAAATAGGAGAATATTATGTATATGTACTCTAGATGATTGGGACTTTAATCAGTGACACGTCAGAATTTATTACAAGGTCATCCCTTTCTTTTTCAGTAATTTAATGAGTTCCTTTAAATGTGTCATAACAGCCCAAACAAAATGATCAGGTTTTACCTGTTAATAAAATGTTGGTATATGTTCACTTAGAAGCTCCTCTTTTCCAATTTGAGTAGCTTCTTTTCTTTTTGAAGAAGCTGTTTTCTTTTCATATGATTAGAGATGGTCTCTAGGCCACTGGATCATGTGGTCATTAACCAGTATTTTCAGCTAATAAAAACTTGAATAACTTAAAAAACACAGTTATGTAAGGGCCATTAAGTAAGTCTTAAATATTTTCATCATATTAAGATGGTTCTATACAGTGAAATAATAGACAAAAGATTCACTGAGAAGAAAATGTCAAAAAAGGGGCATTTATTATAACAATAATTTTACATTACAATATTACATATTCACATAAAAAGGTATAAAGTATAAATTTTTAAATGTTGAAACTTTTTTTTTAATGGATTGGGATGAATAAGCTACAGTTTTAGAATATGGGCTCTGAAAATGGAGCAAGATGATAGGGTTTTATTTCTTACATCCCTGTATTTTAAAAATTGCATATTTCCTTCCTAAGCAAATCCCAGTTTACAAAAATTAAATTGAAACGAGTAATTTGGGATCAGAAAAACTGATGCCTTCCTGAAGGTTTTTAACATAGAAATATCTTGGTGGACAGATAGGTTCATTTGGAAATTTTTTCGACAGTTCAAGTCTGAGGGTCAGCTGTGAGAATCAGAAAGAGGCCTAGGCATTTGGACAAATTCGAAGTATGCATTTATTTTTCCTTTACAGGGATGTGCACCTTTTACATACCTTTAAGATAAATATTTTGCCTTTTCCCTTAGATGTTGACAAAGATCATTTTGTACAAATAGCTAGTTTAAAAATAAGTTTTAAAGGGCACCTCCATGGCTCAGTCTGTTAAGCGTTCAACTCTTGATTTCAGGTCATGATCTCAGGGTCATGAGATCAAGCCCTGCATTGGTCTCTGAGCTGGACATGAAACCTGCTTAAGATACTCTCTCCCCCTCTGCCCCCCCAATAAATAAATAATAAATTAATTAATTTTGCTTAAGGGTAAGATATTTAAAGATTATATGAATTCTTGTTTCCGGGTCACTTTGTCTATGTTGTCGTCTTGCTGTCATCCTTCCTAATTGCTCGGTGTGTTGGTGAGTAGCATCTTTTGCCAGTGTATATTCATAATTCATATATACCTTCTGCCTTTATCATAGGATACTCTTTTGTAGATTAGTAGTTGAAAGGTTTTAAATATATTTGCATTGGCAGCTTTCTTAAATTATAGGAAGTCCCTTTCCCCCCTGCTTTGAGTATATAGATTTTGAATGTAAACTGTATAGTAAATAACAATATTAAGTCAAATAAGCTGGTTAAAACTGATTAGTTAAGACAAAATGACTTGAAAGGGAGGCTCTTTACCAGTTTTATTGTTACAGCAATTTGTGCAGATAATCATTACTAAATAAACAATATGTCTTTGTGACTAGAAATGGGTGGCCCATTGAAACAACTCTTTTTTGTAATGCATAGGGAGAACTGATATTTTGTCATTCACACATTCAGAGTAAGTATGGATAATCAATAGACACTCTAAGGGTATGGCCTTAGAGCCTTATGCAGAAGGTGAAAACTTGGAATTGTCTCAGAGAGAAAGTAATTGTTTGCAGAGTTCATAATGTGGGTAAAATGGTAGTAAATTATAGTGCTTTCACTTAGCATTAAGCTGTCATATTCTTGATGACCAACCAGTGAAAGGCAACTTTCCGTTGCCCCAAGTTTTTCAGTTCTAATGGTTAGGAAGGAAACCTTTGGGGTGGAAAAATTTCTTGACTGCAAAGCATGCAAAACTAGCATTTTGATTAAGTAGAATTAGAATTAATTGTTCTAAATAAAAACAAGTTGGAACAGTTTTGGTTTAAAAAGGCAATGGATTGTTTTCATATATCCTGTTCTCACACAGCTACAGAACAATGTTTTTCACCGATTACTTTCTATTCCATTTCTAGTTCATAAAATTGTAGGATTTTTAGAGTTGGAAGGAATATAGAGGCCTTTAATGTAATTTCCTCATTCGGAAACTGAATTTCAGGAGGAATCACTGGTCTTGCTAGCGACCAAGTTGGAATGAAAACCCTGGTTCTTGACACCTACTCCATTTCTCTTTTGGCTGGACATTTCTACTCAGAAGCTAAGTTTAAAAATATATTGAAGGCTGAGACTTCCAGAATGTTGAATTGAAGAGCTCAGTAGACCTTCTCTCCAGCAGAACAACTTAACTGTTCGAAATTATTTTTTTTAACAATAATTTAAAATCTCTAGAAATTGTCCAAAGAGCATATATCAATTGGGAAAACATTGATTCAAGAAAACCTATTACTTATCAGTAAGAATAGGAAGATTCTAGCATTTGAATTACCTGCATATCCTCTACCATACCAGGTCTGTGTTACAGAAGCTCAACCTTGGGTACTCTATTTAGGCAGGTGTGGTGAAGATGTTGGGAGGAGGTAGGGCTCCTCCCCCAGCTCCCACTCCGGGGTTGTGGTTTCACCTTGGCAGGGGTAGCTGCCTGCATTTCTTACCCCCAACTCTGTGTTGCAGAAATTTATTCCACACAGGCACAGCCAAGAGGACTGGTGATAACCTTCTACCACCCAGCCTCCATTCTTTGAGTGGAGGCACTATTATGTGTGCAGGCTGAGAATAGTGAGGCCCTGATTTTTTCCACCCCAGCTTACTCAAAGTTTGGATGTTTCACTCAAGGAGAGGAAAACTGAGAATACCAGGAACTGACACCATGCCCCAGTGCCGCACCACTCATAGAGTGGTGTTTTCACTCTGGGCCCTTTTAGCCCCCAGCTTCAGTTCAGTGGTGCACAGGTTCTTTCTAAGTGGGACGGTATGCAGTGAGGACAAAGAATTCCACCATTCTGCCTGGGGGACTGACTTCATTTGAAAGAGCATGGAGAACTTTGTCCCTAAGGACATTGTCAAAAACAATGGAGATCTTGGTGGAGAGCAATTAGGCGGAGCTGGTGCAAACAAAGCAGCAGAGCAGCCAGAATTTTAATAAAGAGAAACCAAGAGGGAACCAAAAAGAGCCTTCCTGGGAGCACAGTCAACTCTGGGGATTGAAAAGACTGTGTGCATGTGCTAGGCTGCACCTACTCAGGACAATTAGAGCAGAACATGGGGCAGACTTAAAAGCATTTCCCAGTACATGCAGACCCATCAACACAGAGCAAAAGCTTTGCTGGGTCAAGGAACTTGACCAAACACTGAACAATAGATTGTTCTGATCTAGAGGCGACTATTAGGAACACAGGCTTAAAAATAAAATCACACTCCTCCTTGGCAATCTGGAAGACTATGTATATGTCTAAAACTGCCCTCCCAGAAAAGAGAAGGAAACTCCCAGTTACTAGTCCTGGCTGAACGTGGGTCAAAAGAAAACCCCCTGACATAGCAGCCTCCAAACACATACACATCCAATGGTAAAGGGTAAAAATCTTGCCAATAAGTGCATTATGCCCACCCAGAGATAACCCTTAGGTGGCTAGACTAAAAGAGATAACAGGCTGCACACTGCAGGGGAAATAACCAAGCAAATACTAATCCCTTATAGGAGGATCATTATCCAGAGTTGCTATAAGATACTATAATAAAATGTCCGCTTTATAACAAAAGATTATAAGAAATGCAACGAAACAGGAAGGTGTCATGCATACACAGGAAAAACAGGCGGTAAATACTGCTTAAGGGGGCCCAGATGGTAGCTTATAGCATATAAAGATTTATAAATAAAGAAATAGAAATTACTTTAAAAGAACCAAATGGAAATTCTGGAGTTGAGAAGTTTTTACTAGAGGAACTCAATAGTATATTTGAGCTGGCCAAAGAAAGAATCCACAAACTTGAAGATAGATCAATAGAGATTATGCAATCCGAAGAACAGAGAGAAAAATGAAAAATGTCTTGAAGAGAGATGTGGGACACCATTAAAAATACCAATGTACCTCAAAATGTAAGTAGCAGAGGAGAGGAAAGGAGCAGAAAAAAATATTCAAAGAGATGAATGGAAACATCTAAATTTGACGAAAAATATTAAACATCAAAAAAGCTCAACAAACACCAGTTAGGAAAAACAGATGTTCAAAGCTAAAGATAAGGCGAAAATTGTAAAAGCAGTAAGAGATAAATGACATAAGGGAAAACACAGGGCAACACCAATATGATTAACAGGTGAGGTTTCTCATAAACAGTGAAAGCCAGAAGACAGAGGGATTGCATATTCAAATTGCTGAAATTAAAAATCAAGGGATGCCTGGGTAGCTCAGTTGGTTAAGCGTCTGCCTTGGCTCAGGTCATGATCCCAGGTTGTTGGGATCGGGTCCCACATGGGGCTCCCCGCTCCCCCTGCTTGTGCTTGTGCTCTCTCTCTCTGACAAATAAAAACCTTTAAAATTTTTTTGAAAATAAACTATTAATATTATATACAAAACTATCATTCACGGGGCGCCTGAGTGGCTCAGTTGGTTAAGCGACTGCCTTCGGCTCAGGTCATGATCCTGGAGTCCCTGGATCGAGTCCTGCATCGGGCTCCCTGCTCAGCAGGGAGTCTGCTTCTCCCTCTGACCCTAACCCCTCTCATGTGCTCTCTCTCATTCTCTGTCTTAAATAAATAAATAAAATCTTTAAAACAAAACAAAACAAAAAAAAACAAAAAACAAACTATCATTCAAAAATGAAGTGAAATAAAGATGTTACCATATAAGTAAAAAGAAATTGCATTGCTAGTAAATCTATATTACAAGAAATACAAAGGAAATTATTCAGGCAAAAAGCAGGTGACACCAGACAGTAATTCACACACACATGTGTGTGTGCACACACACACAGCACCAATAAAGTCACTCATGTAGATACTTAGTAAAAGACAGTATAATTGCATGTTTCTTCTTTCTTTTAGGAAAATTTTTTTCCACTGGAAAATAATGTTTATTGAGATCCCACCAGTTGCACAATCTGCTTCTGACATTAAGCAGCTTCTTCTTGCAGTTCAGTCTTTCATTAGTGGTCCCATGAATGCTTTCTTATCCTCCACAGTCTGGAATCAGCCATGGCCAAACTTGGAAGTGGTGTCAATGAACTTAAGGTCAATCTTCAGGGCCTGCTATTTGATCTGCACCAGCAACAACTTGTGGAGAGTAAGCACTTGCTTCTTGGTTCTCATCACACAGCCTTTCTGCATGACAAAGTCATTGGTCACTTCATCATAGTGGACAAAGTCAACTCGGTTGATGCTCTTGTCAGATCATAATCAGTAGAAGCATTGTTCATGATCAGTTTGCCATCCTTGATGAGATAGGCCTGGCCAATCTTGTAGATCTTCTTGTTGATCTCAATGCAGTGATGGTAGCCTTTCTGCCCAGCCCATGCCATGGAGGCCACTTGGGCAGGATGCCATGCCCCAATACAGCCCACCTTGCACAGTCCCTGGTGGGTCTTGCAGGGTAGCTTCTTGGTGTGCCAGTGACTGGTGACCTCTTGTTACCTTTGCCCTTGGTGACACCAATGACATTTATCATCTCATCCTACCCAAACACTTGGTTCACAAGCACCTGCTATTCCAGGATCTCATGGGCCTAGTTCAGCTTCTCAGCCACTGTGCCTCTATTCACCTGGATCTCCATGAGGTGGGTTTTCTTCTGGCATAGAGGAAGCAGGGGCATCTGGGTGTGGGTGATGACACGGATGATTTGGCAGTACTTCTTCATGCTGTTGAACTCCTTTTCTAGCTGCTGCTTGCCATCATCATCCTGCCACTTGCAGTATTTGGTTGAAGGCTCTCTTAGACTTATGCCAATTCTTATAGAAGTGCCTTTTGCACTCATCCTGGATGTGTTCAGCAAAGATGGTCTTAAAAGTACAGAGACCTTGAGCGGTTTCTTCATAGCCCATGACGCCCACAACCACCATGGATGGTGCCTCCACAATGGTCACATCCTCCACAATTTCCTTCTTTTTCACCTTGGATCCAGGTCTGTTGACCTCTCACACAATGTGAGTCATGCCAGCCTTGTAGTTGAGCAAAGTTGTGAGGTGGATAGGCTTGGAAGAGTCATCCTTGGGGAAGCTCTTCACCTTCCATGGTGCCAGCCACTGTGTTTCTGGGGCAAGAAGCCCAGGGACCCATGTCTGGGAATACAGAATTTCCTATGAGACGTTCTGCCACCGAATGCTGCCAGTAGAGCAAGAAAAATTTTAAAACAAGTTGACTTAGAAAACAACCACATGAAGCAATGTGTATTCTTTTGTTGGGAGTGGAAACAAAGCTGTCTTGGAGTAATGAAAGTAACTCTTGGGAAATGAAACCAGATGATATCCAGAATCCACAAGAACAAATGAAGAGAGCCAGAAATGGTAAATGGTATATACAATGATTAATATAACAAACTATGAATATACACCTCCCTTCTCTTACATGTTTTGAAAGATATAAGATCATACAAACTAATAGTTTTAATTATGTATTATTGAGTTTGAGATACACACACACACATATATATAAATGTAACATATATAAATGTATTAGATATAACAATAGTACAAAAAGGTGGTATGGAAAGGAGCTATATAGGAGTAAAGGTTATATACTTCATTGGAACACATTTCAGTGGAAATATGAAGTAAATTCTGAGAAGATAGGATGTATATTGTAAGCCCTAGAAGAACCACTAAGAAAGTAACTAAGAAATATACTTAAAATATTAAAGGGATCAAAATGTTACACTGGAACATACCCACTTAATACAAGAGGAAGGCAATAAGGTAGGAATAGAAAAAAAAGACATGAGGCATATAGAAAAAAATTAAAGTGGAAGATGTAACAATATTAAATATGAATTAAAGAAGTCAAAAGGCAGAGCTTGTCAGATTGAATTAAAAAATCAAGATCCAACTTGATCCAACAGGTATCCTGTCTATAGAAGCATTTAATATTCAAAGATACAAATAGGTTGAAAATAAAGGATGGGAAGGGTGCCTGGGTGGCTCAGTAGGTTAGTATCTAACTCTTGGTTTTGGCTCAGGTCATAATCTCATGGGTTGTGAGATTGAGCCCCATATCAGGTTCCATGTTCAGTGAGGAGTCTGCTTGAATATTCTCTCCCTCTGCCCCTCCCCCCACTCTCTCAAATAAATCTTTTTTTTTTTTTAAAGAATGGGAGATATATATGTATATATATATATATATATACAAACATATATTTTGCAAAAATGAACCATAAGAGTTGAAGTGCCTATACTAATATCAGACAAAATAAACTTCATAACAAATAAATGCTACTAGAGATAAAAAGGGATATTTCATAATGATTAGAAATTCTATCAGGAAGATATGACAATTTTAAACATATATGCACCTAAGAACCTATCCAAATACATGAAACAAAACTGACAGAATTGAAGGGAGAAATAGACAACTCAACAATAATAGTGGAAAATTTCAAAACCTCTTTCTTTTCTTTTTTTTGTTTTCTTTGTTTGTTTTTGGGGGGTTTTGTTTTGTTTTGTTTTGTTTTGTTTATTTATTTTTATTCTTATGTTAATCCCCATACATTACATCATTAGTTTTAGATGAAGTGTTCCATGATTCATTGTTTGTGCATAACACCCAGTGCTCCATGCAGAATGTGCCCTCCTCAATACCCACCACCAGGCTAACCCATCCTCCCACCCCCCTCACCTCTAGAACCCTGTTTGTTTTTCAGAGTCCATCGTCTCTCATGGTTCGTCTACCCCTCCGATTTCCCCCGCTTCATTCTTTCCCTCCCGCTACCTTCTTCTTCTTCTTTTTTTTTTTCTTAACATAGATTGCATTATTTGTTTCAGAGGTACAGATCTGAGATTCAACAGTCTTGCACAATTCACAGTGCTTACCAGAGCACATACCCTCCCCAGTGTCTATCACCCAGTCACCCCACCCCTCCCACCCCACC